CCAAGCCCCACGGCAAGGATTTCTGATTGAAGAACTGCTTATCATAGTTCCTTTCGTTTCGTCCGTGCCAACCAGCGATCCCGAGGAAGGCCAAGCAGGACGAGGCCGGTGCCGTTGTCCCGGATGCCATTGTCAACCGCCGCCAGAAGAAGAAGGAGAAGACCTTCGAGTACGAGGCCGTTGTGGGCCCTGGCAAAGCCTGAGTGAAGCCTAGGTCGAATCTAGATCATTAATGATCATTCAGGGGGTTTAGGACATTTAGGGGCCCTTGACACCTACGTCCTACTACGTTACGACGAACACCCCCAAACCCCAAACCTTGCAGCCCTGAACCAAGAGCTCCGGAGCTCCGAAGGTCTATCCAAGACAGTAAAGCACCAAACCCTTGACCCGCCGTATTAGGGCTTAACCCCAGACCTTGACACTTCACAACAGTGCAACTCTGAGTGACCCGAGCGAAGGGCCCGTTGTGCCAGGTGAAGTGGCAGTTCAAGTCCATGGAAAACAACACCTGGGTGGAGAAGGACACGTTGGTGAAGATGGGCTACATCAAGCTCGTTCAGCGTGAGGATGAGCGCAGCTCGGCACGATGGTCCCACTTCCTAGCAACCAGCCGCTCATATCTTTCCTGGGAGACTGGTGGAGTGCCAAAGTCCGGCTTTTGCTGAGGTCAGGCTGCCATGGCAGGACTGATGACGAAGCAGCTCACCCAGCCGGGTGTGGAGAAGCACTTGGTGCTTCGGCGGCAAGTGGCAGGAAAACCAAGTCATCCTGGCGCCATGTTGGTGCTGAGGCAGACTTCGGCGTCGACGCCGAGTCCGCAAGCCACACGCAGATCAACCAGCTCAGCGCCCTGCCCAGATAAACCACTTTGCTCAAGGGGCTGCAGAAGTGTTTTCTGAGCTCGAGCCTCAAATGCTTCAACTCATTTAAGTTTGATGCGAGGGCCCCCGCAGCGAAGGTGGTGGAATGAAGGTGAAGATCGTCCTCGCGGCTGCCATGTGGCAGAATCCGCACGTGCTCATCCTTGACGAGCCACTCGGATACCCTTTAGACACCTGTCGAAGAGTGCTGTCTGGAAGTGGTAGAAGGAAATCAGAAGCATCATACGGCCAGATGCAGTATGGCAACACGCCAGGCCGACCAACTACCTGGATCGCGACGGGCTGGGTGGCTTGAGAGACAAAGATTACGTAGCTGAATAACAACAGAACCTGCCAGTGGGTCTGTGAGGGCGGATGGAGAGTTCCTGCACATTCCCGTCCGGCGCAATTGCTCGATCTGCCAGGTGCCCTGGTTCTGGCGATCAAGGATTACAAGGGCGGTGTCCTCATCATCTCCCACAACAAGGCCAGGAGGTCTCTTGCGTGCTCTCGGGAACAAGAGCAGAGCTTCCTCCGTGACCACTCCTGTGCACCACCCACAGAGAGAAAGAGAGAGAGAGATTAGGGATGCAACCCAAGCAAGGGTCCTGGCTCACGACAGTGTAACACAAGGGGCCCCGGCACCGAGCCCGCGACAGCGGGGACTGGCACACGTGCAGCTTGTGACAACCGACCCCTTTGCAGCTGGGGGCTTACTAAGGATCTCTGAGGATTTGGTGGTGGGGACGAGGCTGTGAAAGGGTTCGGGCTCACGAGGGAGTTTCACAGCGACAAACCTGACTCGGACGTTGGCGTAGCGCTTCGGCACAGGGGAGTGGGGAGCGCACTTCCCATGCCCCCACAACGCTTCGCAGGCAAGCAAGGAGAGAGAGAGAGAGAGAGAGAGAACAACCACGTGAACCACAACCAGCTGGACTGCCTGGACCACCTGGACTACCACACCGACCCGAACCTGAGCCAAACCAACCGGAGCTACCCGCACGACCTGCACTACCGCGACGACCAACACAACCACGACCAGCTGGACTACCTGTACAACCTGGACTACCTCACCGACCCGAACCAGAGCCAGAACCGCTACAACCTGCTGTACGACCTGCTGCACTACCACCTCCTCTCGAACCACCTGCGCGTCCTCAACCAGCCGAACAACTACGACCGCTACAACCTCCTTCTGAACAGCTGCCGGTGGAGCACCCGCACAACGAAGAAGGGGAACACACGGACTGCCGACCTCCGGGACTACCTGACCCACGTGACCTACCTGCACCTCCTGGACTACCTCAACGACCCGAACGACCCGAACCACCGGCTTCTACCCTGGCTCCGCAACCAGTCCTACCTTGGCCGTTGGAGCTGCTACAACAACCCTCGCCAAGCCTACAGCACCTGCTACAACAGACCTACCCCTCTCGGCGGAGAACCACGAGCTCTACGAGGACCCGAAGGACGTCGCCTACCAGTACACGAGGGGCACCCGCCCTACAGGTGAAGCCAGACCAAGGGGCACACCGAGACGACGAAGGAGAACCAGCTCAAGGAGACCAGCAACACAGCAACGACGCGGGGCACCCGGAACTCACACCCACAGAGCCTGAAGCCACCTGGGACGAGAACGCAGACACGGTCCCGTGGCAAACTGGACTCGGGGCACCACCACAAGAAGAAGAACGACTGAGGAGCACCAGCTCGCCTGAGAGTCAGGAAAGCCACCGTAGACGTAGGCTCCTGGGGGCACTCGCCGGTGACTAAGGGACGGGTAAGCTAGGGCCTCACAGTGCTTGCTGTTTCGTCTGCGAACACCTGAAGTCGCCAGGAGCACCCGCCCGAAGACTCGTACTCCAAAGTTGTAGCAAGGGGCACCCGCCCGAATACCCGCACTTCTCGGTAGCGGCTACGTAACTGGCCCGGGCCTCAGTGTGAGTGTTGCTTGTGTTTCTTTTCAGGAGTACCTTCGAGTCTAGGGGCACACAGTCTCATGCACAGCTG